AAACAAAGCTCAACAATAATGGAAGGACAAGGTTATTTTTATCATGGTTCGTTTGAACTCAAACTACTCCAGTCCACCCGCCAAGGTGATTTCGCCTTTCTCAACAAGGACTTAATCCACTATAATAAACTGATTACAAACACACAACAACTGTTGTGACTAACAATGCACAAGTAATCTTACAAGTGACTAACACCACTAAGACTTAAATCTAGTCCTAGTTTGCTTGAGAAATGTGACCAAACTTGGTCTCTCAAGGAATAATTACAAGAGTTTAATCTTACAGATAGTGAAATAAAATTTGCTTCTAATCAAGCTATATCACAACTGTGATTTTTCACTAAGAATAAATTGCACAAAGTGTATGAACAATGAGTTTGTGAGCCCAAAATTTTTCACGTAGTTTCTTGCTTCTTTTTGAAATTTGATTCTATGTTTTGCTTGCAATAAATGTCCTTCTATATATAGTAAGAACAAAAAGACTGTTGCTGCCTTCAGAAAAGTGGAGAGCATTAAATGCTTGCGCCTTTTCTTGCACTATTCCATTTTCCAAGAAACTAGCTTAGACACTTGAGTGCTTGTTGCCGTCTTTGCATTAATGAGAAAATGACAACTTGTAAGAGCGTGTTTGCTATGCTTGACAAGACAATTTGGCTTTAACGTTCATTCAGAACTTGCTTCAACGTCTTGTATTCAGAACATGCTTTACACATCTTCTAGGCAGTGCTTTGCTTGCTAAGAACTTGATCATCGCTTGCTTTCAAGTAACTTCTGAACATCACTTGCTTTCAAGTAATCTTCTGATCAAGGAATCCTGCTAAATGTTAGAAGATACATTTAAATAATTGTCTTACCAGAGTCAGCAGATGTGCTTAAAACAAAAAGGTTCTTTCATCAAAGAACTTCTTCATAATTTTTTGCTTAGTACTTCAGAATGCTTCTGTCAGAACATTATCTGAAATAGTCAAATACGTTCATCAGAGTATAAATTATCTAAAATATAATTTATTGTTATCATCAAAACTCTGAGATAGATCAGAACTAATCTTGTTCTAATAGGTTCTCTAAGGTATTTGTGTAATACCATACCTGATATTTGCTATGCAGTTGGAATGGTTAGCAGATTTATGAGAAAACCAAAGTGGTCTCACTACCAAGCTGCAGTCAAGATTCTAAGGTATGTGAAGGGAACTCTGAAATATAGAGTTTTATTTCCGTCTGGAAGAAAGATCGAATAAGAACTTCTGAGTTATTTTGATTCTGATTGGTGCGGAGATAGAGTTGACAGAAGAAGTACTTCTGGGTACTTATTCAAATTTCTGGGAGGTCCTATTTCTTGGTGTTCCAAGAAGCAACCTATTGTTGCTCTGTCAACTTGTAAAGCTGAATATATTGCAGGCGCTCTGACTTCATGTCAAACTGTGTGGATTCTGAACTTGCTGAAAGATCTGAAGATTGAGGTAAATAAACCTCTGAAGCTGATGATTGATAACAAGTCTGCTATCAATCTTGCCAAGAATCCAGTGTTGCATGTGAGAAGCAAGCATATTGAGACCAAGTATCATTTTCTGAGGAATCAAGTTCAGAATGGAATTTTAGAAGTTGTGCATTGTAGCACTCAGAAGCAACTGACAGATGTTCTGACAAATGCTATCAAAACTGATCAATTTCTTGGTTTAAGGGATGAAATTGATGTTGTCAGTTTTGGGTAAATATAAATTAAGGGATGGTGTTAGAATTTATTTAGATTTTATAGTTAATTAGATATTAGTTTATATTTAGGAATATCTTTTAGATTATTTATATCTTTGTTAGAAGATATATATCTTAGATCTTCTTATATCTCTGTTAGAAGATATATTTTTTAGATTTAATTTTGTGTATAAATAGCGTAGTGGAGTAGGTTATTGTAATTCATTGTAAATCCTTATTTTGAAGCTGTCAGCAAATATATTTCTTTTACCTTTTATCTTTCTTGTGCACCAACATTTATCACGTTACAACTCTTAAATGAGAAATTTTGAAAAATTAAATGAGAAAGTTGACTGACTGAGAAATGATGGAGCGCAGTAAACTGATAAATTTAATTAGTAATATGATTATCACGTCACAACTTTGTTACCTTTGGAGGGTTGCGACGTAATTTTTACGTCACAACTTTATAATATGATTTTCACGTCACTACATTATATATTCCCAGTTTTTGTTCATTCTCAGTAACCAATTATTTTTGTAAAAATTCTTCAATCTCTCTTCTTCCTCACCCATATTCAGCCATCTCCCTTCTTTCATTCGTACTCTAAATTCATTCTTCAATTTTATTCTATCTTCAATTTAAAGGTATAATTTCACCTCTTTCTTGTTAAATTTTTTTTTAGTTTTTTATTTTTGATTTAGTCACTAATTTTTGTTATTGATTTTTTTTAAAGGTGAATTTTTTCAAGTTTCAAGATTCCAACTCAAAGGTATTAATTAAATTTCATTTTGGTATTTTTGCAATTTCATTTATTTATCTTTTCAGATTTTTATTTGATTGTTGGTTTTTAATTTATTGTTGTGTTTTTATAGACAAAATTGATAAAAACAGATTTTGTAATAGTTTAAAAGTTAATTTTTTTAGATTATAAATAATAACAGATTTAATGTTAATATATATTTTTTTAAAACTGAAATATAATATAATATTTTTTTAAACAGATTAATAAATATTAATAAAAAAATAATATAATATTTTTTTTAAAAACAGAATGATATATATATATATATATATATATATATATATATATATATATATATATATATATATATATATATATATATATATATATATATATATATATATATATATATATATATATATATATATATATATATATATATATATATATATATATATATATATATATATATATATATATATATATATTAAAAATAGAATAATATATATTAATAAAAACAGAAAGTAGTATATCTTAATAAAAATAAAATATAGAGTTATTATAAGTATTATAGTATATGTTATATTTTTCTAATAATAAAATGTTTATGTATATATATATTAAGAATAGTTATAAAATTTATTTATAGTTATTATATTATGTGAGATTCGTTTAGCTTATAGTTATTATATAAAATTTATTTAGTGTATGTGTTTTATTTTTTTTAGTTTATAGTCATTATATAAAACTTATTTAGTTTATGTGAGTTTTGTTTAGTTTATAGTTATTATATAGTTATTTAATAAAATTTATTTAATTTATAGTTATTATATTTTGTTTAATTTATTTATAGTTATTATAAAATTTATGGTTATTATATTATGTTTAATAAAATTTAGGGTTATTATAGTTATTATAGTTTTGTTTTGTTTTGTTTATTTAATAAAGTTTAAATGAAATGTTTTGTTTCAGAAATTAATTTTTTTTTAAAAAGTTGTGATTAGTGACGTGATTTTCATGTCATAAAGTTGTGATATGTAAATTACGTCGCAACATCCTTGTTTCAGATTTTTATTTAATTCAAAAATAGTTATTTAGTGATATGATTTTTACGTCATAAATTAGGGATATGAAAATTATGACGCAAAAAAAATTGTCTGCTCTGACCTATTATATGCTTTGCTTGCTCCTACTGCAATGTTATGGATATATGTGCAAAGTGTTGTGACGTGATTTTCACGTCACAATTTTATGACAAGAAAATCGCGTCATTAATAAGTTGTCACATGCTCCGCTGCCGCCTGTTTATTCACGTCACAAAAAATATGTTGTGACGTGATTTTCCACGATGTGACTTGAAAATCACATTGTAAATGAGCTTGTTTTTTGTAGTGTTAGTAGTTTTACTAGCAAGGACAGTGTCACTCCTAAAGCACAACATGTTTTGACAAGTGCACTTTTGAGTAGAATTGTTAAGGACATGGATGTAAAGTTTGCAATTACCACTAGATAGAAAGCAATTTTTAGTTGTTTGCAAGCCACACATGCTCCATACTTTCTCCTTAATATTTTTATTGATGGGCTTGACCAATGTATGTCATCGGTGGAGTATCGCACTATCCAAAGATATCGCCTTATGGTTTCTTTATTTTCTATTGATGAGGTTTGTCTTATTTGTCATAAATCGTGTTTAGATACATTTGGAGAACACGCGATTTATTGTAGGGAGCTTCCAGGCTTCAAATATCGACATGATTTTGTTAGAGGTGTCTTGTTTGATATACTTCAGTATGTTGGAGTATATGTGAAGAAAGAGACACCTGTAAATTTTTTGACTGATCCACAAGGGAGTGTTCGACACTTAGGCCCGTTGATGTTCTAGTGTATGGTTGGCTAGGAGGGAAACATACTTGTGTGGACTTGACTGAAGTTTTTCCACTAGTAAGACTGAGAACTAGAGGTTTTACTGTAGGACAGGAAGCTCTTAAAACTACTTCAAGTAAGATAGTCAAATATGAGAAAATGTGCTATGACAATCAACACGTATTCATACCATTTGCTTTTGACACATTTGGTTTTCTAACACCAGAAATAGTTGATCTTTTATAGAGAATTCAAAGATTTATGAATAGCAATATTGTATCTTTTAAGTCTGTAAATATAATTTTTAAGAGAATTAATTTTTCATCTAAAAAAGAGTAGCGGCACATATTGTTATTGTCCGTTTATCTTTTATTTTTATTCGTGTATAATAGTTTTGTTATATTCAATTTGATAGATGTTATTTCCTACTAAAAAAATACTAAATTAAATGCAAAATTACCATAATCAAAATCCTGCATTTCACTAAAATTGCATTTGAATTGCAGTATCCTAGCCAGTTCTTTAGCTTGCTTGATGCTGAAGAACATTAAAGACTGACGCAACATCTTAAATCAATTGGACATGCTTTTCCTTTCCTAATTAATTGATCAAAATAAGAAATTCTCTATGCTCTATTTACATATAAAACGATCCTATGCTATGCTTTAAAAATATAGAACACTTGACTTAACAATGAGTTTAATTCTGGTGCAACATTTGTCCCGATATAGCAGCTGCAAGTGCTGCTCTAAACTTAACATCCTTGGTCAATGAATTAGCCATCTGTTCCACCAAAATCTGAGGTATTTCCATTTTGGAATTACTATTTATCACCATATTCTTAGAAGAAGAATCATTTCTACACTTAGGTTTTTTTGTCCAATCAAGTGTAACTGTACATGGTGCAGCAGCAGAAGAAGGTGCTGCCGAATTCATCTGATTCCTACCACGGTTGTTTGTTGGCTCCATTTGAGAAGGATGAGGATGATTGTGTTCTCCTTCATATGTTGCAACTGTAACTGATGGATCATCCACACTTCTTTGCACTTTTTTCTTCACTGTGCAGCTCGGAGCGAAAGAACATTTGAAATACGCTCTTGGTGAAGGGTTATCTCTTGTCACCTTTTGTCCATATTTTCTCCATTGATATCCATCTTTCACAATCTGCAAATTCATTATCACAAAAAATGTCAAACAATCACTCATAAAAGTTTTATATATAGGCGAGCGGCCTAATCGCACTAGGCACTGCATAAATCAGCCGAAACAAATGAATATGAAACAAATTAAGAAGAGAATTAATCTTACAAGGCTTGAATCAGATGCTTCTGTCTTGAAATAAACTCTTGAAACTTTAGCCTTAATGCAAGTTTCTAATTCTCTTGGTTTCTTGCAGGATTGATCTTCATCACTTGAACTGCTTTCGGAGTTGCTTCCATTAACTCCGATTAGATTGTTGTTACTACTGCTTATTTCATCAGATTTTCTTTTCTTTGAAAAACTTATAACCTCTTTAGTTTCAGGATTCTTCTTCATATATTCCATCATGTTGTTTCTCAATGTGTTGTAATTCTCACACATCTCTGTCAACATTCCTGTTAACTTCTTGTTTTCTGCACTCACTCGTTTCAGCTCTTCCACCAAAGCATCACTTGACTGAAATATTCACATCAACATTCATGCAACTTTGTTAATAAGTTAAAACAATTTAGTTTATGACAAAGGAACACACAAGATTTGGCTCAACTAACTAACCTCTTCTTTTGGAGAAGAGTTCCTCAACCCTAATGAGAAAAAATTGTTTTCCATTCCATTTTTCTGAAAAAAACACAAGAAAATAATTATTACTTAATCAATGAGAATTATATTTAACATAAATCAAGATCACATGTTATCATAGTTTTAAACTGCGGTCTGCAACTGCATCATTAGTATTTATCTACGATGCAATATTAAAGTTGTTAGTGTAACTGCAACAACAATTTAGAACTTATGTATGGTATATATATACTTACAAGAGCTTCTTGATGAGACCTTTGAGGGTTAATGTTGAGATCTAAGGAAGTGTTAATCCATGGTGAATAATCCATACTTGTTTGTTGAAAGAGAAAAAGAGATGAAGGGTTTGATGAAGTGGTTGTAGTGAAGGGAGTGAGAGAAGAATAGATGTGTTATATAATAGAAGAGGCGGCCTAGAGAAGACTAGAGAAGACTTAGTAACAGACAGTTGGTGGTGGGAAGAAGAGAAGTTGAATAAGGAAGCTGTGTGGAAACAAGAAACTTTTGGAAAAAGACACATGTAAATTATGTTTTGTCTTGCATATTATTATTATATCCTCATTATGTAGGGGCAGTGTTTGACTAGTGTTCTAGTCTGGATCAAAGACTAGATAAGAACAACGTGTTTTTAATTGATATTACTATTAAATTTCATGTTAATTTGTCGTATTCCAATTCATCTTCATTAATTTCTAAGGATTTTTCTTTATATAAAATTACAATAATTATAATTTAAAAATTTGAATTCCAATAATAAAGAAATTTATGTTAAAGACGTAATTGGAAGAATATTGAATTTTATTTTTAAATAAATAATATTTGATCAGCGCTCGAATATTTCATATATGAGTCGAATTAATTGATTTTTTAAATAGGTCAAAACCTGATTGCGAAAACCTAAAAAATAATTACAATAACTACATCAGAAATTTATACACATTAATATATTTTGAGTTTGAATTATGTTACTTTAGGGAATTGAAGAACTGATAGAATAGAGTATTTGGGTGGCGGAGCGAGATTTTAGTATATGTCGCAGGGAATTGAAGAAGTGATAGAATAGAGTATCTGAGTGGCGGGGCAAGATTGCAGTATATGTCACAAAGAGTAGACATGTAAGATTAACACTATGTTCTAACGCTTAAGTCAGCAAGTGAGTAATAGAAACGTATAATAATTTATCGTTATAATATATATTAGATCTCGTGTGAGATACTTATATTATATGAGAGATGGTTAGCGATGTCATGCTTTTTGATGTGAGACGTAGAGAATGATTAGAATATTCCACAATACATTAACTGTATGAGGCATGAATCGAGTACGAGTCTAAAAATCATAAAGTGTTGCAGATGCACCTTATGATTTTGTACTAATTATTGTTGAATATGGCTCATATTATTGAGATAATTAGGGTTATTGAGATAGTTATGTGTTGCTGAAAGTATACTCAAATTGTTTAACTAATTATGGATCGTTGAGATAATTGTAGGTTGTTAGGAGAATAACTCATTAGTTGAGATAATTATGTACTATGGATAGAGATAATTCTTTATTGAGGGAAACTAGAGATTGTGGTTTTAGATAATCTAAAACCTCGTATTATATATATATATATATATATATATATATATATATATATATATATATATATATATATATATATATATATATGGCTTGTAACATTGTAATCAATATACAATTCACAAGATATAAATAAAGGGAATTATAGATAATATATAGTCGCAGATGTAGGTAATTTGCCTAAACTGCATGGACAAAGCTTTTGTGTGTTTCTCTCTCCTTTTTATTCTCGTTTCTGTTCTAACAATTTATATCAGATGTCGCTTAATCCAAAAGGTGCGTAATTCGGAGTAACTCGGTTCGACAGAACGGGAAATTTGAGTTTATGGCAAAGGAGGGTTAAGGATTTCTTGGCTCAACAAGGTTGATAGAAGGCACCTCGTGATGAGAAATTGACATACATCATAATTATTGATTGGAAAGAGACAAAGGAGAAGGCCGCGTGTTTGATAAGACCTTGTGTTTATGATGACATGATGAATCATATCCTGGAACTCATAACTCTGAAGGATGTCTGGAATAAATTGAAAATTTAATACATATTCAAGACGCTCATGAACAAACTATTCGCGAAGCATCGTCTCTATAGCCTGACGGCGCAGGAAGGAGGTGATTTACAGGCTCATGTAAACACTTACAACAATATCCTCGCTAATTTAACACAACTTGGTGTGAAGGTTGACAATGAGGATAAAATTATTATCTTGTTGTGCTCTTTACCAAGCTCTTATGATCACTTGGTGACCACTCTCACATACAGGATGGAAACAATCACGTTAGGTTTTATTTCTTATACTTTTGCAACACGCACAATGTCGCCAAAGTGTATAGGAAGGTGGAGGAGTTTCAGGTGAATGTTTATTTGTGAAGGGAGGTCAAGACCGTGGCAGAGGCAAAGGTAAGGCAGTAAGTTCTGGAAAGAAAAATAGGTTCAAGTAAAAGGATATAAAAATGGAAGAATGTTATGGTTACAAGAAAGGACTGTCCAAACAAGTCAGGCAACAATAGTTCAACAAATGTAGTGTAGATTGATGGCTCATATAGTGAAGAGTATTAGCTTTGTATTTCATCTGCAAAGTGCATTGATGCATAGATTCTTGATTATGGGTGGTCCTATCATATGACGCTTCACTGGGAGTGATTCAAGTCTTTTAAATTAGGCGATTTTGGTTTTGTCTATTTAGATGATGATAAAACTCATACCAACACTAGAAATGGGTAAATTAAAATCTCTTTGGATGATGGTGGCGTGCGCAAGTTGAGTGAGGTACGTTATGTTCTAGAATTAAGGAAAAATTGGATTTTTATGGGTACTCTTCAAGAAAATGGTTATTCATTCTGGTCTGATGGAAATAAAGACATCGTGAGGGTTACCAAGGGTGCAATGATGGTGATGACGACAAGGAGGAATGTAGGCAACATTTATAAGTTTTTGAGGGCATAATTATGGGTGATGTAACATCTTTTGAAATTGATAATGATGCAACCAAACTGTGGCACATGCTCTTGGATCATCTCAATGAACAGGGGATAATGGAACTACATAAAAGGAATTTGCTGAAGGGTGTTCGCAGTTGTACAATTGGATTGTGTAAGTATTATGTTCTTGGAAATAGTGTAGAGTTTGTTTCAAGACCGAGCAACATAAGACCAAGAGAATCTTAGACTATGTCCATTCTGATGTCTGAGGGACTATAAAATAGCCCTGCGTTGGAGGTTCCACGTACTATGTGACATTCACTGATGATTTTTCTCGTAAGATCTGGGTTTATTTAATGAAATATAAATCTGATATATTTGTCATGTTCAAACTGTGGAAGGCAGAGGTTGAAAACCAGACATAGAGAAAAATAAAGTATACGCGGTTTAATAGTGGATCTGAATACACTTACAAAAATTTCATGCATTTTTGTGAGAAGAATAGAATCCAGGGGAATTTTTCTGTGAGGAAGACACCACAACATAATGGTATTGTAAAGAGGATAAATATGCAAGGTGCCTTCGGTTGAATATTTGTCTTTCAAAAGGTTTTCGGGCAACAACACTTAATATGGCAGCTATCTAGTCAACAAATTACCACGAGCTTCATTGGATGACAAAGTTGTAGGGGAGGTAGGAACATGTAGCCCCATTGATCTGAGTAATTTGAGGATTTTTGGTTGTCCAACATATGTGCATATTTCTATTGAGGATCTGTCTAAACTTGATCCCAAGTCAAAACAATGTATCTTTATTGGCTACAATAAAGGGGTACAAGTTATGGGATCCGATTAAGAAGAAGGTGGTTATCAGCATATCTATTATATTTGACGAGTAGTCAATTTTGAAACAGTCAGATGTAACAGTTGTGCCAGATACCAAGGTAGAAAATTCTAGTCAGGACAAGATTCAGGTGGACATTGAGGAGCCACTAGTGAGTCCAAGGCAGATTGTAACCCAACAGCAAGAAGAACTAGGCTCAGATTCAGGTGTAGTGCAAGATTAAACAAAATTACAAGACTATACACTTATGTATGATAGGGAGCCATGTCATATTACACCTTCAGTGAGATATGAGTTTAAGGACTTAGCATCATATGCTCTTCTTACTAGTTCAGGAGACCCCTATACTTTTTGAGAGTTTATGGCTAGTCAGGAGAAAGATAAGTGGATGGGTGCTATGGTAGAGGAGATTGAGTTCTTGAAAAATAATGATACATGGGATCTTGCAGCTTCCACATGAAAAGAGATCTATTGGTTGCAAGTGGGTGTAGATGAAAAATCAGACAGTAACGGAAAAAGAAGTGGAAAATTTCAAGGCTCACCTAGTCACAAATGGATATGCGCAATTGAAGGGGATTAATTGTGATGAGGTTTTCAGTCCGATCATTAGACACACTTCTATCATAACAGTATTGGCCATGGTAGCCAACAGAGATATGAATTTAGAGCATATGGATGTGAAAATAACTTTCCTTCATGGTAATCTAGATGAGCAAATCTACATGGAGTAGCCAGAGGGATTCAGTGGTGTTGGACATGGAAAAGTTATTTGTAAATGGGAGATGTCTTTGTATGGCTTGAAGCTGTCTCAAAGAAAATGGTACAAGTGCTTTGATTCATACATGCCCTGAATTTCCTATAGAAGGTGTAATTATTATTGTTCTATTTATGTTAGGAGCCTCGATGATTACTCTTTTATTTTTCTGTTACTTTATGTTGATGATATGTTAATTTCTTCCAACCATTTGCATGATGTAAATAAGTTGAAGATCAATTTTGATAAGGAGTTTTATATGAAGTATTTGAGTGTTGCAAAGAAATTTTTTGGGATGGAAATTCATAGGGACAAACGAGCTAATAAATTATGGTTGTCTTAGAAAAGCTATGTTGAATGTATTTTGAGCAGATTCGACTTGAGAAAAATAAAGCCTATGAGCAGTCCATTGGTGAATTATTTTAAGATCTCTTTGTAACAATGTACGAAGACAAACTTAGAGGTTTAAGGTATGTCTAAAATTTATTATCCAAGTGTAGTTGGTTGTTTGATGTATGATATGGTTTGCAGTAGGCCATATTTTGCACAAGCAGTTAGTCAAGTGTGCAAGTTCATGTCCAAGTCAGTGAAGCAACATTTTGTAGCAGTCAAGTGGATCTTAAGGTACTTGAAGGGTACAATAGATTATGGTATCATGTCTAGTATGGAACGAGGTGTTTCATCTATTGTGGTATATGTGGACTCTGACTA